ATAACTGGTGGATTATCTATTGAGACCATTGGGTAACCGTCTACGGTAGGTACTCTATGTTCTCATTTTCCTCTTTCATCAGAAGGCTTCTGAGCCTAGTTCAGTTCAGTTCACTTGATCAACTGTGATCCGAGCACCGGAATGTGATGGATCGAGTTGCCACAACTTGTATGGCAAGAATAACATTAAATAACAACGGCAAGATAGTGGGGTTAAAGAAAAATAGATTATAAAGTAAACGGAAGCAAGAAGGAAGTGTGTTAAACAAATCAGAATGGAACGGAAATTAACGAGATACAAGAAACTGAATGCAGGAACGCCACTGACTGCGTCATGTCTGATACGGTCTCCAACCATCTCGAGGACCCCATAAAGGAAGACGGCACGCACCAGCCTGACCAAGTCGCTCAGTCAATGTTTGCATGCCACTACGTCACGTCATGGACTGGTCACCTCGCGGTTTCACCCAAGTTGGTGCAGTCACGGCATACAATGCACGCCGAGGAAGCCTGTCAACGGGCATGCATAGCACATGGCCTAACCAACGTAAGCGATTAAGATTCAGTAAAAGTAAGAACACAAGATTGCGAAATGATCTCTTTTCAATACTTCTCGGCAGGCAAATACAGTTATAAGGATGCAATGTCTTCAGTTGATCGACAGGAACATCGGTCGAATGTGACAGCATCATTCAAATGCTCTCCATTCACTTATTTTCAGTCCGATCTTCATTGGCTTACTGTGTTGCGTTTTAATTTGCATTCTCATAACTGTATTTGCCTGATGAGAAGTATTGAAAAATGATATATTCGCAACCTTGAGTTCTAATTTTGACTGTACTGTCTATAGGATTAAGATTCAGCAAACACTCCAATGAGGCACTAGGCTTTTTGTCAAAACCCAATTGTCGGACCCCAACACTGATTACCCGGTGTTCCCAACAAACGTGAGCAATGCTCCGCAAGTTCCGGTGGTCAAACACGGCCAAGCGTTTGATGCTTTCGCCGTGAAGAGGCCAAGTCTCTGGTCCATACAATAAGACTAGCCTTACTGCAGCGTTATACACCCTACCATTCACTGACAGACTGATATCCCGCCGTCTTTACAGATGGTTGAGCCATTGCAAAGCCACTCGGGCCATGCTAATACGCGAAGTAACTTCTTCAGTGATGCTACCACCAGAGGTGACACAGCTGCCAAGGTAAGTGAACCGATCCACCACTTCCAATGGTTGTTCGGTGATAGCTAGAACCGGAAGTTCAGTCCAGAAGCAGTACTTTGCACTTTGAAGGTGCAAAACACATGCTGAAGCGTGCGGCGCAACGAGTCAGACTATCCAGCAGTGTTTGCATAGCTACTGCGTCGGACCCAAGAAAATCAATGTCGTCCGCGTACTCCAGGTTTGTCAGCCGGTCACTTGGTAGAACTTCCACTCAAGCAAAGTTTGAAAGAACGGAGTCATTCAGGATCATTTCGATAATAAAAATGAACAGGAAAGGAGATATAGGACAACCCTTATGAACCACGCTTGTCGTGGGGAACACAGGAGGCAGTTTTCCGTAGACGCTTACGGGGCTTCGTGAGTCACGGTAGAGAGACTTAGGCCCACTGCGTTTCATTGTCCAGTAGCAGCCTCCGTCCTCGCCAGCAAATTACAACTGGTTCTGTCACATCGTGTGAGGGAGCAGCAAAGATTATTCTTGAGTTCCAGCAAGCCCACTGACTAAGGGTGAGATATATTTAACAGTGACGCAAGTCGAATCGCAAGCCACCTATGGAGCATATAAAATTCTAACCTCCCGAACTCTGGGTTTGCAAAGTAATAAACGGAACGTTTGACATGCTGGTATGCATTCCGAATCATGGGTTGATATAGATAATCGTATAAAAATCGAGTCTTCCTTATACAAGTTAGCTGGAGGGGAGAAATATCTCAGGTTTTGTGCCGTACTATGATACAGCTACAATGAGAGGCAAAAGCGTAACACAAAACAAACAATATTATGCTTCGTATCTTAGGTATGTAGTGAGATCTTGGTTGGAGAAATAGACTTAAAGAGAGTGATAGAAAACTCGAAACACAAACGTCAGTGAGATTGGTTTTACGCCAAATCAACAAGTGTATCCAATCAAATGTGCTCATGGTCTTTCGGATTCCAACTCGAAGGTCGGGAGGCACCAACCAAAGCAAACATCGAAGTGAGAGTCTGCATTTATTTAGGCAAAGCCATCGGTTGGCCTTCCATCCCCTGTTCTCACCCAGACCTCAGGTGCGCAAAGAATGCAGATCGCAGGAATCAGTGTGTTGGCTTGTGTAACTCGTGGCCCAGGCAATACTAATCGAGAGAGTTACCTGCTGCTTTACCTGCTAAATTCAAGTGAAAAGCACCAACGGACTAAAGCGTTTTCAGAAGCACGGTTAGCATCCCATAACTACTAGCAGCAAGTAGGAGAGACACACCACTTCAGACGTGTGGTGATGTAGTTTATTTAGGTTCAATACTGACTATTACTAAATGACACATAGTCATCCACTGTGCAACTTTGTCTATAAATGGCAAAGGTACACGTTTGCAATAAACACACGTGCTTGTCCGTAACATCGGGAAGTAAATCGGAACATCATACTTAGCTGAACTTCTGTAGAGATTAGGCAGCCTACTTGTGCGCTCATAGCTCCAGTACGTAAAACTATAATCCAGCAATTAACACCGTGTAATATGGCTTTAAGCTCGTGAAGGAGGAAGTCATCCGCAATATCGGGACTGCAATAGATTATAGAAGTTCCATGTGCCAGTCGTAGTTGACTATGTCAAGCGGTCTGAGCATGGGCGACTGTTCACGAGGAGCTAAGACTAATAATCACTACATCCTAAACAGAGGTTGTTGCATCGGTCCCTTCAAATGCAGGGAATCAATAGTTAGAGGAAAAGTTAGACGCAGTTGAGTTTTCAGTGATGATCGCTCCACACACCCAACAACGATGACGTCAGACGTAGTCGGCTCAATAACTGCATGCGGTCAACAGATTCTACTCTAGTCAACACCTACAGTACTTCGTTGGTGTGCAAGTACGAATGTTGAACGTCAGAAAAGAAACCGAATGATGCAGTTTGTTTATATGGTTTTAATGGCAGGAAACTAGGAAACACTGTCGCGGCAGGGGTACAGAAGGGAAAGCTGTAACTGATGTCATTTATGCAAGAGACTATAGAAGAGGGTTATTTAATGGGGGCCGGGAGGATTATGCGAGCAACAAGTGGGAAAAAGAAGGTAGCATCAGCCTATCGGTTTAGCCGTGTGCAGTAGAAAATTCGACTCGCTTCAAACAGTGCGGTGCGGATGAGCTTTGTTACACGAGTGCGACTATTATCGCAACGGGAAGTAGTACAAAAAGCCAAAGTTCGATCGGTTAGCTGGTCTATACTATTTTACACGCATGTTAGCGCATTGTACCAAGCTTTTAGAGTGGCACATTTTCGAAATCGCGTGCAGTGCATTCAAGTTAGCGAGGCTAAGAACGCTGTTTTGGCGTCGTTGACACTCTCATTGGTCATGGGACGTTAGCCAATGGGACACCGGTTGGAAGCCCCTAACATAAGCGACAGACAGTCTAATGAAAGTGGTCGAGCACCACGTTCTGTTCCATTTTGATGCCTATCTGAAGGAAACCACGCCAACTTGAAAGCACTGCAAGCGATTTCGAAAATGTGCCACGTTAAAAGCTTGGTACAATGCGCTAACATGCGTGTAAAATGGTATGGAATCAAAGCGATGGTCAATTGGTATTTGACCTATTGAGTGGAGTTCAGGGTTCCAACTTATTAGGTAGTGTGATGTGACGAAAAATAGAACAACGACAACCGTGAGATACAGAAAAAAAAATCGGTTACTGAAGAATGAGCTAGTGACGTAAGAATGGTTGTGCAAAGAACGATGGTCCGGCTATAACCGATGGCTAAGTAATTGCCGCGCACTCGGTTTGCTTTATAAAGTAGAGGCTAAGAAAACAGCACGTTGCGTAGTGGAAACAGCAATGTTGTCAACTAAACATAAACCGGCATTCTGAGAATTGGTTGTGCCTTCAAATGAGTTCTTAAAATGAAAAAGGCAGTTGAAAACAGAATCTAGGAGATGATAAGGATGCGATGTTTGGGATACTGAAAGCTGCTCTCCACAAGCTACGCTGACGAATCATTTACGCACTGATTGGTGCGTTCATTTTCAGTGCAGATTTCCGAAATATTTTGATAAATAAATAATAAAAAATAATGTGTCAGCTTTACGCCGTAACGGCGCTTCGCTGCCGCGCGACAACCACCAGTCGCGCGCGGGCTGAGTATACCGCGAGGACGCCCACCCCTACGCGGATTCGAACCGGTGACCTTATGGTTGCAAAGCAAACGTGCAGACCACTCGGCCACCGGCCGACTATTTTGATAAAGGAGAAATCTAACAAGCCGGCACAAGTAGGCAGAGATAGGTGCGTTTGAGAACAGTGGTTGAAGAGTACTACGCCATGCCAGCGGTGGGGCTGGCATCACAGCCGGTTCCTGTTTTGTGTGGCTATCGAGGATAGTGTATTTTAAGTACGTAGTAACAACAGCGCAACGCAATTAAACATGTACTGCTTCGGTGCGGCTACTGCGTTATTTTCAAAATAAGCAGGTAAGAAAAATGGGAAATCGGAAGTAAAGTGGTGCTGATTCAATATTGTGCCCATGAGGTAATCAACGGCAAAGTTTTGACCATCATTGTTCCACTTACAGTAGATGCGGAAGCAATACTCCTCAACAAAACATGGAGCGCACCTAAAAGAGTGACGAAATGCTTGTATACAGGAGACTAATTGCACGAGGCGATCCAACCATCGAAGTCACGTAGCTGTGAGGTAGTTGGTAGAGTGGATCATGGGATGCAAGTACGTCCCGATGGAAGTTACGTAAATTAAACAATTCCCCAGTGGATACGTCTAAAAAGGAAGTTGAATCCAAAATCCCTTAATGATAAGAGAGTATGTCAGGCTCACCGGGTAGTAATGGGACAGGGCCTTTTGAGAGTTGATCGAGATTCTCGGGGAAAGGCCATGAGTGCAGCCCGGAACACAGACCATAGCCTACTTTAGCGAACTGCAAGCCTACATCCTCAAGGAGAGTTGACGTTTGCCCAGATGCCTTGAAAGAAGACAGAGCTCTGTCGATCCAGTATGACATTCTGTATGCATAGATCCATCGCATATGTGGAATGGCGAACAAGACCTGTAAAAAGTGGAATGTTAGAGTAATTAGAGAAAACACCTAATGATGAGTAAGTAAAACTACGGGGAAAGTAGGACATTATTCACTATACAAGTAGGAAAAGATGGGGGACTGTGCATTGTTCGTCAGTCAGCATAACCCATTTACTGCGCAAGGACCGAAACGTAGGAAGACAAAGGGATGTGGTGTTGCTTAATAAGTACCCAGCGCAAGAACGGAGTGCAGTAATCCCAGTTAACCTCAGAATGTAACAAAAAGCAGGACACAGAAGAGAATCCACCTGGTGTGCTTCAAAGTGAGAAGCTATGGTGAACAATGGGACAGCCAATGGCTCAAAGAGTTCCGTTGATCGATCAATATAGTATCGCTGCACGAGCACGTGGGAACAGTACTCGACCAGTAAAGAATCCGCATACAAAATTGGTTCTAACCAAGTTGAGTCGCCTGTATGCTGTGCGGGTGTGCAATTAAAAAGCAATGACAACCGGACCAGTGATAGACCACCCGGTGTGAAAGCACTGAGCGTACGATGAAGGAAGGCTCGATAACGAGCAGAGCACGCTGGGAACGAGCTGTATTGTGTGTTGTCCAGCGAGAACTTAATGGTAAAGCGAAATGTTAGAGACCAAAGGAGAATCCGGCTTGAATTCAGCTACGGTGACAAACGATGACGGCTAAGTCTATAGAAACTGACTGCGGTTAGCTACGAAATGATTTGGAACATTGGTAGCTCGGGAGGCTTGCTCAGTTGTTGTGGAGTTCTCCGAGCTGGGCAATTGCGGTTAGCTACCTCAGGTTGTGTTACCAAGAGTATTTCTTGTTAGATTTTTCCATGCAGTGGAATGATTTTGTGGAAAGTACAATTTTAGACCATAAATACTTGTGTTACCTCTGTGCTCCACAATTGGCCGCCATTTCGGTGTCGGATTTTTCATAATGCCCCACAATTACCTTGCGGTGCCTGTTCCAAGGATGTCGCAAGTCGAACAAATGCACTCACATACGTTATGTGTCAGGTTAGAACCCATATTTCATGCATTGGACTATCGAATGAGCATTTTCGGCGCTTTCATGAAATCCAACATGATTTCGTTCAAATTTTGCGTAAGAATTACCGAAACGAGATACAGCCGGAGAAAGTAGAGCTGAATCGCAAACCGCCTTGTATGGTGATTCATTCCGCTGTGAGCAGCTCCATGTGTGTTTGGCTCACCAAGCTAGCCCGAAGCGCCTCCAGGTTTCAGATAAGCTTTTCTGTTCATCCCGCGCAAACTCACCGACAGGAAGTCCCGCAGTTACCAGCAGCCAGTTACACTTGACGCGAATATTACACCTGTGCTGTATCCTACAGGCACAAATGTTTCAGTGTGTGAAGGCCTGTGTACCGAAGACACATGGAAGGTACCAGGAAAGAAAAGGTACAAAAATAAGAAGAGATCAGCCGCTTCAAATCAACGGCAGGCCAGTCCACGTGAAACACGAGAAAATCTAGGTTCTGTATGGTCAATTTCGGCCGACCAGAGGCGTTTTAACCTCGTGCTCCAACTTCCCAGATATGCTAAGACCATGACGTCGAATTTTTACATAGCATAATTGACAGGTTCCTCGACATGGAGGAGGACGGTTTGGTAGTGAGGCAAATTACTGTTAGAAGAGGCACCTCCTAACGAACGGATCAGTGAACCCAAAGAGGGTCAAAGTCCATCCATTTTCCAGAAATCGAGCATTGGTTAATCCATAGAATAGTTGAAGGATGTTTTGTGAGTAACGTAAGTTTCGTAGAAAGTAGAAGTCACTCTACCACTGAGCTACCGAGGGCTCAGTGGTAGAGCAGCGGACCGGAAATTCGTGGACCGGGGTTCGATTCCCCGTCGAGGCAGATTTTCTTGTGGAGTTTAATCGTGACTTCTACTTTCTACGAAAAATAATCCATAGAATGTTCTCGTAAAACCTAATGCTATTATTGGTTAGTAAAAAAGAGAACAGAGAACGTTCAGGAAGGTCGCTACGAATAAATAAATATCGGTACTTCGCGCTCTGCACTCGCGGGTCTGGCGGTCATTACATTGTGCCTACGACCTCGCCTTTTCATCGGCCAATTGAGGACGGGCAGGTTTCCAGCGAATAGCCAATCGGAGCGGCCAGGGCAACCTTGGTAACCATAACAACTGGCGACAGAGGTGGCAATTTGATTGGGTGCGATGAAAATACGACGAAATATGTCGTTCTCAGTGGAGCAACTTACCGCAATACTTCAACATCAACAGAAACAATTTGAAGAAAGCGAGACAAGATTGGTCGAGAATATCTTTCAGCGTTTTGGGGTTCAAGTGAGATCAAACAATGAAAAGCAGCATCAGCTGATGCGGTCGCGAACAGCATTTGCGAATTTCAGTATGACCCGGATACCGGCCAAACCTTCGAATCTTGGTTCAGAAGGTATGAAGACGTTTTCCGGTACGATTCCGCTGATGCTGACGACGGATGAAAGTGCAGACTGCTTTTGAGGAAGCTGGAAACCAAGAAGCATGACAGGTTTCTCAAGTTTATTTTGCCAAAATGATCCAAAGATTTCACTTTTAACCAACTTGTGCCACAGTTAAATGGGGTATTTGGTGAACAGTCTTCCTTATTCAGCGTCCGATAAAGCTGCATGAAGCTCGTTAAATGCGAGTCAGATGCTTCCGTAACTTGCGCGAGTGCCAGCAATCATCATTTCGAGAAAATTAGGAGGTACCCCTCCTAACAATTACTCGTCTTGGTAAGAAAGGTGATCAACAAAGTCGACCAATGAGAATCACCTTTTTGGACGAAATCAGTCCGAGACTGATCTTGTCCTGATTAAATAGGCGAAAAGATCCAAAGCGCCTTGTTTGTCTAGACTTTGATCCGGTGGATCGAGAACGACTCAAGTTTGCCATCACTGAGCTGAAGAGATGAGATGGTGATGGAGAAACAGATCTCTGTATCGTAAATTTCGGGTCGTTTCCAAAATTCCACGAAGCAGAAGAAACAAGTTGGTCACACTTCAAGCATGCCCGGTGGTTTTTGCTGCGGCTTACATGTAGCCTTTACCAACATTTGTAGTCCTAAGAACAAGTATGATGAACTCCGTCGTTTCGTTGCATCTGAAAGGCCAGTGGTAATGGGAATCGTAGAAACGTAGAAGAATTATGAGGTGATAGCCTAAGAATTTGAACTCAGTGGCTACCCATGCTTCCGCTACGATAGACTATCAACTGCCCGCGGTAGCATCTTGCTCTACATCCGGTCCTCCCTTTGTAGGAGAGTTGTGAGTGTCTAGAGAAACGATGATGGTCCGTGTGAGCAGCTGCGGTGCTCGATCCACATCAGACGCGGGGAGCTGCTCCTGAGTGCATTTTATCGCAGTCTCTTCAGCCGTTGTTTGGATTGGCTGTTGCATCTCCGAAGCCACACGAGTTGTCCCCATTTCCTACTCACGGGTGATTACAATTGTCCTCGATTATGCTGGAATGAAGTTGAACTCGTGTCCAGACATTGTGAGGTCGAAACAAAGTTCGTGGACTTAGTACTTGAAAGTGGAACAGCGCAACACATATACCAGCCGACCCGAATAACGCCGCGCTCAACTCAGTGGTGCCTAGAGTTTATATTAATAAGCTGTGAACAAGTGTATGACGTTCAGGTCCTAGAAGCCCTAGCACCAAGAGACCACTCAATGCGCATAGCCAGTATGGATCTTTACCGGATCTCTATCGTATTCCCGTCCGCTGGAGCCAGCTTACAGCTATTGGAAAATTAACTTCGACGGTCTAATTCAAGCCACGAGTCAACCAGATTGGTCCCTGCTGCAAACTGCATCTATGGAAGACTGTCGGACTGTTATTAGAGGGAGAGTGACATTACTGAGTTCTTGGCCTGAAGTGTCTGAAAATTGGATCAGTAAAGCCGCATCTGTTCGACAAAGAGAATGGAGAAGTGGCCCGGCTGCAGCACAAATAGTGGGACAAATTCCTCCTCTCCAGCTTTTCCTATGTAGAGGTGGGTGTAGAAGAGACAGTGAAGCATTTGCAATTGTGCAAAAACGAGCAATCGTCGGCGTTTCGAACAGCAGCGCGTAATCGCCGTAAAGACCACTCCGAAAAGAACATTTGCTTATATGAAGCGACGTCTCAAGCCAACAAGTGATCTGTCAGTGCTAGAGGACTCGGGTAGACAGCCCCTAAGCTTCAGCCCCGAATGTGCATCCGCCTTGGCGACGCACTTCGCTTCTGTGTTTGCAGGTGACTAAGTGTTAGTACCGAGTTCGACAGTCAGATTTGCGGTGTCAAACAGGTGTGTCAACTACTCGCCAATCTTTATGACATCAAACCAGCTGGTCTTGACAGACGCCACCTGTTGATTCTTAACTACTTATCGGCCATCATCATATTTGCTGTGGCTGACTTGTTCAACAGATCACTATCCGAAGGTTCATTGACGATTCCGAAAGGCGAAGTAGACAACTACATGCCGATTTGTCTGGCACCTATTTTTTGCTAAAGTTGCCGAGATGGTGTGGTGTCTACTAAAGCTGCTTCAATCAAAAGATCTACTGACGCCTGCACAGCATGGCTTTATGTCAGGCCGCTCATGCATTACCAATCTGCTGGTGACATGGATTGAATGGTTGCAGGTAGTGAAGCAGGAGAAATCCGTCGACGTAATCTAGGTCGATTTCAGTTAAATGTTCGAAAAGGTAAACAATGAGGTCCTCCTCCACAAGCTGAGTTTGCAGTTGGTGGATCACTGCATCAGTGGATCCAAGACTTTCTCGATGGGCGGAAGTGCCGGGTACAGGTAGACCGGCTATCTAACTGACTGGTATCCATCCTTCTACAAGTGGAGTACCCAAAGGCACAGTGTTGGAGCCCAATCTGTTCATAATCCACATCAACTTCAGCTTCCTCCGTTTCCGTACGCCGTGTTTGCAGACGACCTGAAGATATGGAGAGTGATTAGAACATTAGATGACTGCATCCAACTTTAGCGAGACCACAACCGTCTCTCTATGTGGTCTGCGGTCAACCCATCCAAATCGGTATTTATGAGCCTGGGAAAGGGTGGTGACGGCTGAATTTCCACAACTGATGGCCAACTGCTACATTCCACACCTTCCGTGAATGAACTAGGTGTACCATCGCGCTGCGATTTGAAGTCCATTAACAGCAAGAACATACCAGATCAAACCTAGCTTCATTACTTGGTCTGGCGAGTTCGCCACTCGCCTTTACTCTTCCACGGCTCACCTGCCAACCGCCCAATCACCCGAGGCGAAGCAGAGATCGAACGGGTCCAACACGTCGTTACTAGGCTCATTTCAAGTTTAACGTAATTAATGTACGAAAACCGATGCACAAAACTAGGACTCTACATCTTGTCCTATTGTCGGCTGTGATTCGACCTCATCATGACCTATCGGTGACTTCCTCATACTGAGGCCGGTGCATTACTTGTGAACGCCATGCAACACACCGGTACAAGCTATGAAAGGAAAGTGGTAAATGTTTGGAACAGTCTGTCAAAACAAGTCGTGGAGACTACACCTGTACACGGGGATACGAAACTGAGTGCCCAGTGAAAATAAGATGAAAACCTACTTCTGTCCGGATCAAGTGGAAAGAACAGCAAAATACATAAAACGCACCTGCAAGACAGTATTCATATAGCACGTGTTGCCCAGGTTGTATAGGCCAGTGAGCCCGGGACCATATCGAGGATGTAATTGTCGGTCAGACTCTTGTAGAGTACGCCACTCGCCAAGCCTTTCGTTGGCTGCCACCTCAAGCTCTGCAATTGTCTTGTCGGTTTTTTCCATGCGCATAATATCAATCCCAAAATGGGCTAGATGCTGTTCCAACAAGGGGTCAGTGACCATTTCATCTTCGGCGTAAGAGAAGACTTCAGCGCCCTAACGGAGAAGAATATGGAAGTAGAATTAAGGTCATCCAGATAAAATACATTGCAAAATTGAATAAAAGACATAGCTGGACGTATGAAATAGAACTATCAAACAAGAGGCAGGACGATAAACGGGACAAGTTTAAAATAAGCGGCGCCTACGTAGTTCAGCAGTGATTGCTATTGATTCTGGTTGGCATGTTTGCTCACTAAGAATGTAATCAGCTGGTTGTAATGTATTGCTATAGTGGCAATGCTTATCACCACATCGGATGTATAAGAAATTAATAGTTCGAGCTGTTAGCAGCTATGACATTGAATGATGCTGGAACTTAAAGACTGAAAGAGAATTTCGAAGTTAAAGGATGACAAAATATTATCCCTGGCAAAAATCAATACCTAGCATGAGCACAGGTAAGAAGTAATAGAGTAGCGAGAAAAAATGATTAAGCAAGCGAATGATCTATTCAGTCATTGACAGTACAAGCCAAGTGCCAACAAAGCTAAACTAATAAAACAACCGGTTAAGGTACACGGAGTAATTTAGGAATTCGACGTTACTTCTGACAAAAACAACAACCGAGATAAATGGACTATTGTGGACTGTACCTGTGGTGTGATAGTGCCCAGTTTGACGGCCAACGGGTACCCTGTTTGCTGATAATGTTCCACAGCGTGATTATTACCACCCGATCCATCCCAGAAGCGACGTCCGCACAGAATGGTACCATCCGTTAAATTCAACCATAGATTTTCCCTTAGTCCGCACAAAGAACACTTCCAGCCTCTAGAAAAAGTGCAGAAAGTAAACATAACCGGAAATCGACGAATTTCGGTGATAGAAAATCACTATGACTCCTTCTGGACTCGATAAATTTCGGATAAGTATGAAACTGATCGTACACTGCGAAACAATGATGATGAAAAGGTATTGGGGTTCAAAGTTACCAAAAGCACTTTGCCGAACACGAATGAAACCCTGAAGACAGAAGCAGGGAACATGGAGAGAAGAGACCGTACTAACATTAGAATAAGATAAAAATGAAGACATAAAAGTACAAACTAAAAGCCCAACCTCAAATATGGGCAGAATATCTGATCAGTTAGAAAAAGAACGCCAGCGAAGAGGTGACCCGATTCTTTGACTACGTCAACAGCCTCATCGTCTTCAGTAACATTCAGAAAGATGTCAAACATCAAGTTCTTCACACCCTCATGTCAGTGTATTCATGGTTACTGATTACTAGTTAGAAGCGGCGAGTAGAGCTTGCTCTGTGAAGCTGCATCAATCGTCGCTCATGGACATGTACTCGTTATGTTGTGTTCCGCTATATATTTTTTGCGTCGGCAGTGTTTGTCAAGGAACTTCTTAAATTCCGACACTGAGTTTGCCTCTACTACGTGCTGCGGCAGGTCGTTCCATACATTCACCACTCTGCGTTCGAAACAGAGTTGGTGAGCGACCCGCTTCAAATCCGGTACGACAAGTTTATACCGGTGTCCTCGTGTGCTGCTTGGTTTGCGCAGATGGTGCAGTGGTCTCAACATAAGGTAATCACCCAGATGTAATATCCGGTGAGTCATGATGAGGTCTACCCACATTCGCCGATAAGCTAGGGTGTACAGCCCTAGTTTCTTACACCGGTCTTCGTACGGCACACTCCGTAAGTTGGGAATCAGCCTGGTGGCTATATGCTGCACATGCTCAAGCTTTTCTACTATGCTGCACTCGCTCAAGCTTAATGCGTAGACCACAATGGGACGGAGTCGTCCAAGAAAACATGTCTCAGTGGGGTGGTTAACGGTCCAGAAAAAGCATCCTGTATGATGAAAGTGCGAAGCACTTCCCGAGGCGTGCAGTAAGCTGTGTACAATTTGGACCCGAACGTGGACACGTAGCCTAGGTAGTCGATACTTATCTGTCGATCAGTCAATAAAATTTTCACTCCAGTGAAGTAGCCCGATGGTACAATTCCACAAGCATTTCGATCAATATGCCGACAGTGGCCCATCCTATTTCTAGCGTTGGACTCACGGAAGAAGGAACAACGGACGCCTATTGAGTCACGAGAAGCAGAGCACAAAATTCGAGTAAAAACAGTCAATCGAGTAAAAGGTCGGCCACTGTACGTTTTCTGCGCATACACTTGGCGATGCATAATTAGGTGAATAATGCACACACACACATACACACATGGTTGGCGGCATCCGGTTTCGGATTTGCCTGTCACTGTGGCAAGCCACAGGACGCCTGCGCCTACAGAGGGACCATGGGTGGCTTGCGCTGCACCACCCACAGCTCCAACCACACACCCCATATCCAGTGTAAACCCGAAGGAATAAGACCGGGAGGCATGTGGATGGGAACCACGTTTCATCAACGGAGCCGGCCCACACTCCTTCACAGGCAAACACAAGCACACTGTATTTGGGGAATCAAGCGCACACAAGGCGGTGGCTGGACCGTAGTCCGTTCCACACTGAGTGCATGGAACCACTCTTCGAGCCTAGCACGGCCACAAGGACCGTGCACCCCGTCCCCCCCAGCAACGACCAACTGTCTCCTGGAGCCAGTATGGACGAGGTAGTGGGTAATAGACAGGTAGGCACCTTGTCAACATGCACATCAAGCGCAGCCACACCGGGGATAGCACGCAACAGCCAATCACTTGAAACGACAAAATGAAATAACATAAATCCAATAATGCATACAGATACGGTGGCATAACTCTTCGCTAAGTTAGCATATGAAGTAAGTTGGTTAGCAATGAATCCGTGATAAGGAAAAAATGTCCATAAGTTACTCAAAAATGCTACAAACGCAAAAAAATTACCGAAGATAAGCGCAATTGGCGTAAGCGACGTGGCCAGCTAATAGAAGACTATTCAGATAGGCAAAACTAACCAAATAAAGTGGAATGAAATTTATGCAGCTTAAAGAGACCTAGTTTAAGTGTAAGTTGGTTTAGCCCAACTGCGGTGAAGAAGCATCAAGAATGCAACATCAGCCTCAGCATGGGGCACACACACATACACACACACACACACACACACGCACTATCTCTCTCTCTTTGGTCCCAGCGAGTGACCGCATCGTGATGCATGTGACCAGATTGATGTTGACGATAATTAGGTTAATACCCCGATGATTACCGCATGACGACCCATGGCGATGCATCTTATAGATGGAGATGACATCTATTAAGTGTAAACCTGAAGATACCTCTCCAGTGCAATGCATAGCATAAAGCGCTTAAGCTAACAGTCATTGAATCGCTATTTTCGATGAGGATGGAAGGTGTCCAGACACCTTGTTGCGTTTCAATAGGGCCAGTTAGCGTCGGATCCAGTTGGTTCTGTGAGACGAAAAGCTAAACGTGTAGGATGGATGGTTCAAAAATGAAAACGTAGCGGGTAAGCTGAAGTGCACTACAATAATACGACCCAGCATTCACGGCGACAGAGAAGAGTTGATCAGTTGCACACGCTTTTCGGCAACTTTCTCACTGCGTACGCCTGCCATGTAGCAGTGCCTAAGTGCCCATCTGCTCTGTGCCACCGACTTTCTCCATGGGAGTAATCTTTAAGATCAATCGACGATTCAGATTATGTTTAAGGGTGTTGTGGACACTCTGAAGGCAACTGAAGTAAAGATAAGCAACCCATTAGAAATGTGCTCACCATTAGAAGGCTAGGAGGAGATAATCAAGAGTATGTCAGAACCTCATACAGACGCTTCGTTGACACGTGACCACTAGTGGTCACTTGTGCGCCATGAATACTGGAAGGTCAACAGCGTTTAGGTAAACCCGACCCGGTACTCGAACCACCAAGCAACTGGCCGGTAGGAAGTCAAATGCTGATCGGGTGAGCGATATAGAACGCATTACCGTTAAGATATGAAGAGATCACAAAGCAACACTAGATTTACTCATCGAGCTGCTCGGTGGCTGTGGATGCCCCAACGTGAAGCTCTGACTTAGATGCACTTAAGGATATTTGGAGATTACGCAAAGCCAAAAGTGTGAACACCACGGATACCAACATAGTGAAAACAGTGGAGGGCACAAATGAAAGTAGGAATGGAGGTAGAATCGAATTCGACAGATCCTCCTGCAGCTGATGATGAATTGCCCACACCGTCTAGATTAGTGATTCGTTTGGTGGGTGAGGGGTAGCACAATGATTCCACTGGACAATCTTGCTATTTATGCAGGGTTTGTGCGTGCTGGACCCAAAAATATATCCCAAAAGAGCCAGGAAAGAGACCAGCACATAGCGTTGATTGTGGATTACTGATGAGAACCGTTTAAGTCCAGCCACAAAGTGCCCCAATTAGTTAAGAATAATTAGTTCATGAATATTGGGTGTTGCCCGACCGAAAACACCGCATCCTAAGACGTGTTTCGACCTTATTTGATCACATTAGCAGGCATCGAACTAGGGATGTTAGTTAAAATCTTCAGCGCTTTAGCCATCGATTCATGATGGGCAACGCTTGGCACATCAGTTAATGACTGATTGGTTGTAAAGTTGTCATAGTGTCTCGGTGGCTAAAAGAGTTTCAACTGACATCCCAAATAGCCCCAGGTTCGATACCTGTTATCTCTACCTAATGAGATCAAATAAGGTCGAAACGCATCATGGAGTGCAGTGTTTGCGGATTGGCAACATCCAATCTAGCCATCTGTTTCATCAGTTCAGGTACTAAGCATTGAATTGACCAAGGTTCGCTATAGTGCGAATAGCAATCCACATGGGGATTGCGTACCGCAATCCATTCGCATAAACAGTGCCCCACCAAACAATACTGAGTACATGTTTTTTAACAGCAACAGTTGCGATTGTGTTAGGTCACAGGCGAACATCACGATAATAGAGAAGCTGTGAGAAATAAACACGAGTTTTGCGGTAAGTGATGATCGCTGTTGAGGCGCATTAAGATAAGCTTGCAAAACGTGCAAAAAGGCATCTCTCATGGACGATTAGCGGAAGAAGGACGCTACGAGCATCATGCTGATTCCTAATATGAAGTAAGTGTAACTGAGTTAACAGCATACCTGATTTGTGACCAGAGACGAAAGCAGCTTTTAACATGTTTGGTAGTTGAACACACAGCGTGGCTCGTCGCCATGAAGGCGTCGAGGCCATTGCATCACCATGGAAAATGTAGGAGACGTTGACACTCGAACGGCCAGACAAGGGCATCAAATTACTGATCCCTACATCACAATGACATGATCGCAAAGTAAACACAAATATCTGGGATTTGGCGCAAAAAGCGATATGCTAACTTACACCGAGAAGAAAGAAAGGCATCGGCAGTACGCCCGTACGCAGTATCGACGCTTCGCTGCCGCGCAACCACCACCAGTTGCACGTGGGCTAAGGATACTGCGAGGGTCGCTGTGTCCCTACGCAGACTTGAACCCGCGCCGTCAGATTACAAGGCAAGCTTGTTACCTTTAGGCTAGGGGCCGGCACTTACACCGAACAACAAAACGAATATTCCAAGAAATATAGTATCGGTTAACATTGGTCTACGCACAAGCAATTCTACTAGGGTTGCAACAAGTTCGAACTCGCTTCAGTAACGAATTGGATAGAGGGTGCCAACAGCAGAGAGCGAGTTCGGTGCCTTGTCAGCGGTAAAGGAAAACAACTCACGTTGGCGGCACGCGCACTCCGTTGTTTAACTGCATCAGCTCAGCCGCGAATGCAGAAGTAGGACGCGCATTTTCCAGTTCCCAAGCAGAAACTTCCTTCGCGCGTTCTTCTGCCAAAAGAGCAGACTCGGTTCGTTGAATAGCATTCAGTACAGAAGACAAAGGTGTAGGGATTCCAAGCATCTCTAGATGAAAACAATCGGTCTGGGGAGTTCCTACTGTTGGGCCAGGCAAGGGTATCTCGTTTCCGTTGGGTAGGAGAAATAATGACCAAAACTCGTTGACCACATATCGATCCTGGTGACTCATAAAACCACCTGGAAGTCCGTAGGCCAATTTCGTCGGTTTTGAATCAACTTCGCCTTCTGAATGCAAAGCCAAAATGATGCAGCTTAAGTAACAATGTAAGTTATGATCTCAATGAATCTGAATTTCGAGGACAAAACAAGAGATCATGGACTAAGATAATGAGACAAATTTTACAAAAGGAGCAGCAAAAGGACTGAAGTAGAGCCTACCGAAACACTACAACGTGAGTTAAAAGAAGTTCATACATATCTGTCAGGCTTGGGCGCAGGCAACACTCCAGGCACTGATGAATTGGTAGAGATATGCTAGCGGTTAGAAGGAATGACCACGGGGAAATAAATATTTAACACACAATAGACTGCCTGGGTGTTCTACATCCCGGTTGATTCTCGCCCACCTCGGACATAAGACGACCGGATGATATATATATATATATATATATATATATATGCAGAAAAAATGGTCAAGGGAGACAAGTGTATCGACGTTCGTAGTGAATAGTGGTCACGACTTCGGTGTATACATTACAACACACTGTTTAATGGTACGATAATATTACATCGTTCTTTTAAATGAGGCTTGGGAAAACCCCACGATAAGATAAATGTTTGTTTAGCTGAAAAATGGAGATACATGTATCAAGAGAATGGATGTGGAGTTCCGGCACATTGATGCAAACGTACGTTGTAAAAATGTGAATCGCATCAACCTATTCAGTAGATTAGGCGTTTTTCGTCAACGTTATTCGACTGCGATAAATGACAAATTTGTGACCACGATCAACCACAAGTGGGTTCTACACAATACTGGCCATAAAGGAGACATCTTTAATCTGGTGCGAAATCCAGTGAGTTCGGTTACATACAGGATGTAATATGGATAGCCTGGGTATCAGAGTTCAGCGAGAAGATAGCTAAAGATTTCACGCAATATCTTACAGAAACGAACGGAACACAAAAATAAACTGGACAAAGCCAAATGGAAGGGCACTTTAAATTAGCAGCGGAGAGCATGAGGGGGCGCATACGTTTAAATATTTCTTATAGTGACCGCGCAAGAATACTCCTAAGTGTCCGAAACAGTCGGGTTCGTGGACCCAAAACAGAAAGAAAAGTGGGCGCCAACGTCAACGAGACTCTTGACATCATCATGTTATTACCTAAGCGCTCAAGTGCGCCATATCGAGAGGTCCATTTCACGTGGCGGAGCAGCATCGATGGCAAATAATCGGAACGCGCAAAGAGAAGGCAATGTGCCCGCAGTAGGTCAGCCAAATTTCTAGAGACAAAAGGCTAAATAACAAGAAAAATCGTGACAACCCTTACAACGCGGACCGGCCAGCCGTCCGGGCATCAGTAATCAAAGACAAGTAGAACGTCGGGGTCGTTGGCCATAGATCACGGGTAAACCCAGTAGCATCTAGTACGATACTCATTATCTGAAGCAAAACTCGATATCGCAGCACAGAGAGATGGATTTGAAACGCAGTCTTAAAATTCCGTCCATATGCCCAATAACTCGCGTGTAGATCAAAAGTTACGGTGCATCGAAGGCGGTATATTAACACATGGACCATTACAAAAATGTTCTCGTCTCTAGCCGCTCCACGCATTCATGGTTTAAATTGTGTTTAACGACCGTAAAAAGACCAAAATTCAAATGTGGAAAGATGATGAACAACAAGAATGACTAGCATCTGACCCAGAAGAATAAGTAATTGGTTCATGCGCTAACTAAAATAGTTGTCCCCGCTTACCGGTTGTCTTAAATTCCTTCTTGATCTGATAATGTAGAAAAACATGACAACCTGACTCGAGTGAATACCTCTTGACCATCGAAGGCCCAACAGCGATTAGGTGATTTACACATATAAAAACACCTGTTTTTTGCTCGGGAGACTCGAAGTAAAAAGGACATTCATCTTTGAATATTTTCTCTGTAACAGCTGGCAGGTTAAGGTGCGAAGTTGCGTCCAGAATAGCGCGATGGATATCCATGGGGAACAAAGGAAAATAGGCTGAAGTTTTTCTTGTATCTATAATGGAAACATATCATGAAACAATGTAACGTGTCAGAACTAGGCCAAAGTATGCAGTAAAGTAATGCCAGAAGAACGAACGCGAGTGTGGAAAAAGGTTGTAAGGACGAAAAGCGGAACGAAAACAGTAAAAATGCAAGTACTGGTGCTGCTCAAGGCATTTTTAAGATTTAGGAAGGAAAAATAGAACAAAACTGTTGACAATGTTGCAATCTGTCGAATTTTGTTTTAGAATAGAAAAAAACCGACTGAATAAATAAGGAAATCTTGTAAAATACGCTATATTGAAGAGAAATGTAAACTGGCAAAATAAGGAGATGAGTGATTAGCAATAAAGCTGAAGACCTGTAGCTCGGGTTGTCTGTGCAGGTTTAGGTTTGTTCTCCGAGTCGAACCAAATCATAGCTTAATAGACTCAAGCGCAGAGAGTCTGCAGAAGAAGAATTGGAAAACTGCGCCAATGTACAAGTGTGCGGGCTGCCGGAGAAGTTGCGAGTCTACACGGTCAAGCACAGTGGGTCCGTTAACGGACGAACTCATAAAAATAGTGACCTTAATCATTGGTCGCCATATACAAAGCACACTGATCTTTGTTGATCACAAAAACGCTTCATTCCCCTCAAGGTTTCGCATAAAAACCAAAGAATCTATTGTTCAGCTGAGGGAAGACTCCAGCAACGCACCAGTGTCGCCTAACTGGAGAGAATGTGGAAGGAAACATTCTACACTGCATTTGATGCATTACAATTTCAGATAAAGTGGTGAACAAATAAAAACAGCACTTTCGCACTTTCCATTTCCTTTGTGGGTACGGTCTCCTTTAGGGAGAATCATACATAAACCACAATAAAAGTAGTTGTTAGGCATTATCGTAAGTTCCCACGACAGGGCCAAAAGCCGATGCCTAGTACCTGCAGCAAGACATAAAGCATGTATTGTGGAACATATCACATAACAGAAAGGATGCGAATTTGAAGCAAGATGTCTGCCAAATAAATTATAGGATAGCTTCACGAACATCCAGCTGACGGCGTCTATCCGATGCACATGATACATATAACCTATGAACAGGGTTGTTCGAGGTGAAATGTGATCTTAATCGTGACGAAACGATACTACCATTACGACTAGATACTGAGAAGTCACGATGGGTTGCACAGTTCAGGCGTCCACTAAGCAATGTTCGGCGACACCTTTCAAGTGAAGGGGGTCTCTGTTGCCTTCTTCTAACACCCCACGTAAGGTAGAGACAGCTGGGAGTGAAACTCATGACAAAATGATAAATGTCTTACGTCTTGATTACTAAGTCACTGAATCCCGTGAGGAGCGCTTGTCACAGCGGTTAAGAATTCGAAAGTAGGCTTGGAGTACCTGACGTGTGGTTGGATTGTGACATGCAATCTCTATTAGGACCTCGGTTTACGATGCAATAGATCTTGGCCATTCCGATCACTATGAACGTATCCGAAATGAAGGGGATCACTTGATAGCCCCTGGGACATTGACGTGGCGGATATGACACGCCTCTAAACAAATTCAGTCCCTTGCTTCACACCGGTGAGGCGTTGCATTCCAAGAGCATCTTGATGAAATCGTGGGAAGGATTGGGCCTCTGCTTTGCGACAGATCAAACCACAGCAGTACGAACTAAGCAACCAATCGTCAGCTTCCAATGGACATCTGAATTCACCCTGCTACCTTTGGCGGTAGGCTATTCAGCCGAAGGCTCCGCACGGTGTCTCCAAAGTCAACTCCCTACTTCGGCATGAGCAACCGGGTAGTATCACGATCTCCGGCAAAAAAAGCACCAGCAGTACAAGTAAATCGCCAGATGTATGCCGTAACGGCGCCTCACTACCACGCGACCACCACCAGTCGCGCGAGGGCTGAGTATACCGCGTGAAAGCTTACCCCTACGCGCATTCGAACCGGTGAGCCTATGGTTGTAAACCAAGCGCGTAGACCAGTCAGTCACCGACCAGCAGTACGCTGGTATACAGTACCGACGCTTTGCTACCGCGCAAGTACCACTAGTGGCATGTGGATCAAGGATACCGCGAGGGCCGCCCGGCCCCTATGCATGCTAGAATCCACGCTCTCGGATTACAAGGCAGGCTTGTGATCCCTAAGGCGACGGGCTGGCCCCCTGACAAAAAACCTTGGACAGTTGCTCACTGTGCTCATCTGCCGCTGTTTCTACTTCTTCTTTCTTCTTCTTCCTCTTCTTCTGTGATTCATTGGACTTCATAGCACGCCAATTACCCATTTGCTAATAATCCCTCATAACTATTGCCTTATTCCTGTGTTCATAGTTCTACTTCCGGCTTCAGTTGCTCCGCAAATTAGGGAGTTCAATCAGTGGCCTTCCTTCGATACCGACTCCTGTTCAGTCTGACGTACTTTAATGTATGGTCAAACGCGTACCCCGGAGGCTCTGCTTCCTTTCCGAAACCCAAATACAGGATCCAAGCACTGTGATCAAGTTGACATCCTACTAACCACGGAGCCACATTTCACCTGCATGTTTCTGGTGACCCAGAAGCAGTTTCAGCGAGTTTGGCTGGTGTAGGTGTAGCATTAAACTGCAAGGCCGAAGCCGGCTGTGAGTATTTCGGCTTCGGGGCTCAAGCAGAATAAACAGGCGTAACAAAGAAGGACATAACTTGTTAGTGAACTCAGTGTACGCTCCAGCTGACTGCAATTGTGACTCGGTCGATGATGGCTCCTGGGTAACGTTAACAAATCGGGCATCGTTGTTCTTGTTGGGGGTATTAATCCAACGATAGGCCGTCCATTACCATGTGCACGTCGCCTTGGTGGTAACCAGGCATTCGATGAGAATCGCTCAGATGACGGAGACAGATCTCACACAGAAGATTAGCGCCTCTTTCCCTTAAGTACCAAGATCAACGATATAAACCGTTCTGCAACATGGAGTCCCTTTCGCCAACACCAGAGCTGTATCAAATTGCAATCAGCTACAGATGGCGGGGTAGCATAGAGGAATGCAAATCATTTTGGTCCACAATCCTTGACTCAGATCATGCGCTGGTGTGTACGAAAAAAAAAAAATATATATATATATATAATAAAATCCTGATTACTGCGAATGTGGACGCTGTAACGGATTGTCCTTCTGCCGACAGTCCATCCGCTGATGAGGCGTTCATCCTAGCGGAAGCTCCAAATCACATGGAGATAATTGACACAGATGCCTCGGACGGCATTGCAACCCGACCCAAATGGAAGGCGAGTCACGGGCTCCTGGGCCATTGAAGAATAAGCGTAAGAGGGCAAGGAAAGCGCGCAAACCCTTCGCCCCCAAACCGGGTGATAAAATGCTCAAGAAACAAACGCCTGAGCTGGAAACACCACCTGGTGTTGCAATCCCCTCAGTGAGACAAGAGGTGCCGTCGTCTTCGGTCCCACCGATTCCTGTCAAAAAAGCATGTGGCGTGGATGGCAGAGCATGTGGAGTAACTACACCTCGTCGGGGCGATTCTTACACAGATAGCAGTGTGATTTTTAGAAACGTGACTGAATCCGCTGCCGCTCTCCCCACCGAGCGCATGCTTGATGATCTTGGTTGCCTTAAAATTTGCGTGACCAGGCTTTTACCACCAGGTTTTCCTGGCGTTACTGTCATGATGCTCATCAGATTGGGGAACGTCCCGATTGGTCAACCAAATCCTCGACCCCGTCAGGTTAGGGTGGTCCTCTCCACCCCAAAAGAGCGCAGGGCCTTACTGAGATTTGCCTTCAAGCTCAAAAGTACCAACATTAGGGTGCAACCAGACCTTTCGTTAGCGGATAGGTTAAAGTTTAAAGAAGCCATCAGAGATCTAAAAGCCCGGCGCGCAGCTGGCGAGCAAGGTCTCCGATTGGTGGGTTTTCAGGTGGTCATCCGGCGGTCCTGTTCCGCCCTGCCAGAACCTACTCTACCTGCGCACGACCCAGGGTTGGTCGTGCCGAAGTCCTCCAAGTAGTACTTAGTACCGTGCGTGGCCTGAGAAACAAGGTGTGCGAGGTGGGTCTGCTCGTAGACAAATCTCGTCCAGATATACTTGCTTTCACTGAAACGTGGCTGTCTGAGGAAATCACAGATGGCAAAATAAATCTGCCTGGCTACGCACTGTTCCGCGCTGACTGCTCCATTGACCGTCAAGGGGATGATGTAACTCTTTATGTGAGTTATCACATCGACGTATTAAGGACCAGCGTTTTTCAGTCTCTCGACAAATCTGTTGAGGCTCTCGCAGTCTTGATTTGCGCTTCCGCGGTTCAGGTTACGGTCGTATTAGTGTATAGAAGCCCTATGAGCACCTCCAATGAAATCATTGCGTTTATACCTAATCACTCTGCCGGCAGACCTCCACCTCCCGGAGGTTGGTTGGGATGATCTAACTTGCAGTTCGGCTCTGGAATCGTTCGGTACAGAACTGCTGGACTTAATGTTGCAGGTACCACTACACCAGTTCGTGGACATCCCCACTAGGCACAAGACCAATCAGCAGCCGTCCAGCTTAGATCTTGCTTTTGCTAAGTCGACTTTGTAAATGACATCAAATACGACTCGCCTCTTGGGGCCAGCGATCACGTTTGCTTATCTTTCCAGTGCACCCTTATCAGGCCTTGCCAAGCTACTACCAGTTAGTATCGGAACATGTGGGCCGCGGACTTCCAAGCGATGCGGGATAAAGCTAGGTCATCGCCTTGGGTGATGTCTGAGACCGACACTGTTCACATAGCCTGGAAAAAACTTAAGGCTCACGTCGTCGATATTTGTGTACCTCTCATCCCACTGATAAAAAGAAGGGAATCGAGAGCGCAGCCTCCGTGGATAGATTCCGCTCGGAATGGCCCGCTAAAGAAGCGGTCTAGATGCTGGCGAGCTTACCGAACAGCACGTTTGACAAGTAACTGTTGGTTCGAAATGTCTCCAGGCTATATCTTAGGTGG